GCATGAAAATGTCAATAACTGCATTTGTGTACATTTTTTGATAAATTCACCTATATGGACACGCCATCTTCATTTTCCAATTTCTCGAAAGATCGCAAATAATCGCAGCTTATTTTTTGCTATAATCTTCTATACACATGTACATATAATGCCTCATATACGGCTTTACAGGATATTACAGGATAAGTCAACTTTTTTATCATGATATATCTTTGTTATAGTTTAAATAGCACTTGAAGACAAGATTTTCATAAACTGCTTCTACAAAGTCAAAACTAAGTGAAATCAGCTGATGTCATCTGGAATTAATATTTCAATACCTGCTTGATCACTATCCATTTTTGCAAATTATTGTGATTATCCCAACAACAAGTAGAGACACGTAAACAATAGCACTGCGGAACGATTTTTTCTAACAAACTAACACGATTCAACAACAGGCTAGTTTGAACTGATGCCACAACGCGGTAAGTTTAGAAAAAGAAATTATGAGTACAGGGCATTGTTACCCTACCTCTGAAGTATACAATGCATGTATTCAGAATCTGGTTTGGCTTATTTTGCGAAATCGACTTTTGGCCAGCTAGCGTAGAACAAATACCCCTCCGTGCGACGTTCTCTCTCCGTTGGATGAGTACTCCTTCCTATCGTGGCTCATAGTAGATTGCGCGCTTCATGCACAAACGAAGCCTGTTCCTGCAAACGCAAACGTCCTTCGTGAATAACGAGAAGTCTACCGCGTTTAAACAATTTCGTAAATACGGTTCCAGCGAATACTTTGAGTGGTATACGGAGCTAGAGGAAAAGTTTAAGAGCTTGGTCAGGGCCAAAAAACGCGGTTACTGGCGTCGGTTCGTCGAAGGGCTATCGCGAGAGACTTCCGTGCAAACGCTCTGGAATGTCGGCAGGAGAATGCGTAACGCGGCATCGTCGGTCAACGAGGACAAGGAGTACTCTAACAAGTGGATTTTCGACTTCGCGCGTAAGGTTTTTCCCGATTCGGTTCCGGTTCGATGCAACACTCGCGATCCGTCGCTGGAAAACGATGACATGGGGGTATGGTAGAATTTTCAATTGCTCTTCTTTCATGCAATAGCTCGGCTCCGGGAATTGATCGAATCAAGTTCAACCTGCTCAAGAACCTCCCAGAAGTCACAAAGAGGCAATTGTTGAACTTGTTCAATCGATTCCTTGAGCTCAACGTTGTTCCGGATGATTGGAGACAAGTGAGAGTTACCGCCATCCAGAAGCCCGGTAAACCCGCGTCGGATCATAATTCGTACCCACCCACAACATGGGGAGCAGCAGTGGCAGAAACTTCCACCAAAGATGCGACACCTGCAGAACAATAATGACGGTCGAGCACATTCTAATAAACTGCCCTTGTTTCCACGGACCACGAGAACTTTACGGGATCCCGAGCAACATCCGAGACGCCCTTCAGAACAACCCGGTAGCAGAGGCACAACTGATATGTTTCGCGAAGGAGGCTGGAATCTACAAGAGGGTTTAACCCGTATATATTATGACAGTAGGCCCGGCATTCCCTGCCGGTAGCGGGTGCCAGGTATCTCCTGGCAGCTGCTACCGGTGGGGCTCTGCTGGGGTCCTCAAAACAAAACAGAAAACACAAAAGATGACAACAACATAGGACAGTAAGGCAAAATAAGTTCCCTTCTGGAACCGCAACCACCATTCAACTCCGCAAAATAAAAACTTGGCGATGGCCTTCCAGCGGGCGCTATTGAATGCATTCTTCACATCAATCGTAATCACGGCGCAGTATCGATTTCCTCTCCGCTTCTGTTTGGAATCTTTCTCGGCTCTGTCAATCACTGTCCGAGTTGCATCCACCGTCGATCTCCCTTTACGGAATCCAAACTGCCTCTCCGACAATCCGTGTTCACTCTCCGTACATTTCGTCAGCCTGTTCAGGACGATCCTCTCCAAGAGCTTTCCGACAGTATCCAGCAAGCATATTGGCCTATACGGGTCGGTAAATGCTGGGTAATGCGCAATACAGATCCTATTGAAATCACTAGCCTCTACCCAGCAACTCCTATCCCTACCTCCCCGTGGTACCGGCCGGGAACTGTGAGCAACCTTAGGGAAGATCGGGTAACCAACCCCGGTGTGAGCTTTGGTCATAAGCTGACAGGGAGGGGGGGGGGGTCTGCTTCGGCAAGCCTGAGCGTCTGTTCTCCAGGAGGAGCGGCTCACAACAGCGTCTTTTCCCCATGTTAGGGGCTCTCGATTTCACCGCCTCCAAGAACATGACCATACCTTTTTCCAACACAGCCTCCCTTATCGTTACACCCGGAGATCACCACAGCAGTCGGAATCGCAAATCGACCACGTTCTGATTGATGGACGGCACTTCTCCGACATTATCGACGTCAGGACCTATCGTGGCGCTAACATGGACTCTGACCACTACCTGGTGATGATCAAACTGCGCCCAAAACTTTCCGTCATAAACAATGTACGGTACCGACGCCCGCCACGGTACAACCTAGAGTGACTGAAGTAACCGGATGTCGCCTTAGCATACGCGCAGAATCTCGAGGCAGCGTTGCCAGAGGAGGGCAAGATCGATGTGCTCCCTCCAGAGGACTGCTCGAGTACAGTAAAAGCAGCCATCACCGACGCAGCCGAGAGCACCATCGGGTATGTGGAAAGAAGTCGACGGAATGAATGGTTCGACGAGTAATGCAGAGCAATTTTGGTGGAGAAGAACGCAGCGCGGGCGGTAATGCTGCAGCATGGAACCCGACAGAACGTGGAACGATATAAACAGAAGCGGAAACAGCAGACCCGCATTTTTCGGGAGAAAAAATGCCGCCTGGAAGAAGCGGAGTGCGAGGAAATGGAACTGCTGTGTCGTTCCCAAGAAACACGGAAGTTCTACCAGAAGCTCCACGTATCCCGCGACGGCTTCGTGTCACGAGCCGAAATGGGCAAGGATAAGGACGGGAGCCTCTTGACGGACGGACGTAAGGTGATTGAAAGGTGGAAGCAGCACTTCGAGGCGCACCTGAATGGCGAGGAGAACATATGTAGGCACGGGAGACCAGCGCAATGGAGGAAACGACTACGTCAGTGCAGCAGAGGACGGAACTGACCCAACTCCCACGCGGAGGGAAGTTAAGGATGCTATTCAGCAGCTCAAAAACAACAAAGTAGCTGGTCTTCTGGGGCACGCGCAGAAGACGACAGGCTACCAGCCCCTGATCTTCAAGAAGTTGAGGAGAAGATCGGTCGGCTGAAGAACAACAAAGCAACTGGTGTAGATCAACTACCAAGTGAGCTATTAAAATACGGTGGTGTAGCACTGGCTAGAGCGCTGCACTGGGTAATTGCCAAGATTTGGGAGGAGGAGATATTACCGGAGGAGTGGATGCAAGGTGTCGTATGCCCAATCTACAAAAAGGGCGACAAGTTGGATTGCAACTACCGCGCGATCACGCTGCTGAGCGCCGCCTACAAGGTATTCTCTCAAATTCTATGCCGCCGTCTGTCACCATTTGCAAGAGAGTTCGTGGGGCAATACCAGGCGGGATTCATGGGTGCCCGCGCTACCATGGACCAAATTTTCGCGATTCGGCAGGTTCTGCAGAAATGCCGCGAATACAACGTGCCCACACATCATTTGTTCATCGATTTCAAATCCGCATACGACACAATCGATCGACACGAGTACGGATTTCCGGATAAACTCACGCGATTGGTCAAGGCGACGATGGATCGAGTGATGTGCGTTGTTCAAGTATCGGGGACACTCTCGAGCAGTGTTGGAAAAGTTCACCAAAACTCACTATGACTCGCGAACTTTTCCCTTGGTGAACTTCGTGAAATATCGCAATATTTTCCAACGCTGCTCTCGAGTCCCTTTAAATCTCAAAGGGGGTTACGGCAAGGTGATGAACTTTCGTGTCTGCTGTTCAACATCGCGTTAGAAGGTGTGATCAGAAGAGCTGGGATAGACACGAGTGGCACGATCTTCAGGAAGTCCATCCAGCTTCTTGGCTTCGCCGATGACATTGACATCATGGCACGGAACTTTGAGAGGATGGCGGAAACGTACATCAAACTGAAGGCTGAAGCTAGATGGATTGGACTTACCATCAACGCATCAAAGATAAAATACATGAAAGGAAGAGGTTCTAGAGAAGACAATGTTAGCCTCCCACCCCGAGTTCAGATTGACGGTGACGAAATCGAGGTGGTCGATGAGTTCGTGTATTTGGGATCACTGGTGACCGCTGAAAACGATACCAGCAGAGAAATTCAAAGACGCAGGGAATCGTGCCTACTTTGGACTCCGGAGGACGCCCCGGTCGAATAAAATTCACCGCCGCACGAAGTTGACTGTCTACAAGACGCTGATTAGACCGGTGGTCCTTTACGGCCACGAGACCTGGACTATGCTCGTGGAGGACCAACGCGCCCTTGGTGTTTTCGAACGGAAGGTGTTGCGTACCATCTACGGTGGAGTGCAGATGGATGACGGAACGTGGAGGAGGCGAATGAACCACGAATTGCACCAGCTGCTGGGAGAACCTGATTGGTAAGGTAAGTACGCTGAATTCAGGCCGAAATTCATGAAGTTATATGATAGAAGTGAGATATGAGTTGTAAAATGGGAGCAGTAAGCTGTGAAAAGTTAATAAATTAGAAGTGTAACGCGTAGAGTAAGCTATGGAAATTGAATGAGATCGATCTGAGTAGTAAGTATTATTATTAAAATTTAGCAAATATAAGAAAACTGATGAAATCCGTTAAAATTTGGCTAAGATATGAAAGTCGGCTGTAGTTCATTTTGTTGTTTTCTCAATCTTCTGCACATTGGAAACCAGAAGCTGAAAGTAAGTTTTGTCTGCTCAACAGAATTGTTAAAAAACAATATCCAGAAATTTGGATTCCTAACTGCAACATATCCAAGGGATGAGTCAGTATATCTAGGTGCCATTCAATTTATTGATATTATTGTATTACATAGCAATGAACGAGTAAACTCAAGCATCCATCTTCTTCGCCTTCACCCACAGTCCACCCTGGAGCGTCAAAACCGCACTGGCAGGGTCAAATATCGGGGTAGTCTCCATTCGTGCACCCAACGTAAAGCGGAAATTCTTCAGCAAAGTCGCCAATCCAATGCGAGTCTGCATCAGTCCGAAGCGCATCCCAATGCAGACACGAGGACCCTCTCCAAACGGAAGGAATGCCATCGGATGACGGGCTGCCACCTGGTCCGGGTTGAATCGATCCGGGTCGAACTTCATAGGGTCCGGATAAAATTCCGGATCGTGGTGGATGGCGAATGGGGAAATCATAACCGACGTACCCTTTCCAATGGTCAGCGACGATCCGGAAACATTATAGTCCTGAGTTGCCGTACGAAGAATGTTCGGTACAGGTGGGTATTTCCGAAGGCTTTCTGAAATTTGTAACTACTTTTATAGCAACGTTTTGATGACTAAGAAACTAGATCTAACCATTAATGCACTTTTCCAAGTATTTCATCTCATGAACTGCTTCATAGGAAAGTGATCCATGCTTGCTAATAGTGTCGAGGACATCCTTCCTGGCTTTGTCCTGGAGATTTTGATTCAGGGCAAGTTCATACAAACAGAACGACATCAGTGTCGAGGAGGTTTCAAACCCAGCAAAGAAGAAAACGAACGCCTGAGCAGCAACTTCTTTAACGGATAGCGTGCCCAACTGTTGATCCGTGCTGCCCTGTTCCAAAGCTTGTCCATTTTTCAGCTTTATCATCAAGTCCATGAAATCATTCCGTTCGATTTTGTTCTTCTCTCTGTACTCAATATTATCCGAGACAACTTTCAAAAAGAACTCCGAAACTTTCGGATTCAGCGTCACGGTTCTTAATGCAAGTGCCAGCGATTTAAACTGCTGAGTCAAAAGAAGCTTCACGAATCCAATTTTCCCAAAGTTGAATATTTCCCTGCCATATTTGCGAAACTCGGCATTGGGATCACGCAAACTGTTACACTCCAGTCCAAACGCACAATTTCCAATCACATCCGTCGTGAAGCGTGCGAGAATATCTTTCAACTCAATCTCACCACCACCAGCAGTCTCCTTCACGATACATCGCTCCAATTCATCGGCACAGTCCCGAACAATCGGAAGCATCATTTTCATCTTACCCGACGTAAACGTGGGCGTTAGCTTGACGCGCATATTCTTCCACTTGATGCCTTCCATGCTGAAGAGATGGGCACTCAATGGATCATCCTTTTCGTTGACGTAAACCGAACGGTCGTGAAAGGAGTTGAAGTCCTTCACCAGAATGGTTTTGATGAAGTCGAGGTCCAGTGCCAGAACCACGGGGTTGATGAAGAAGTAGATTCCTCCGAACAGAGCATTTCCCTTCAGTTTGCAGTACAGCTTTTCTATGGCTGCGGAGAAATGTTGTGTTTTACCTGTTCCCCCCAGGTTCCCGAGGGGGAAGGTGGGATTTACGTACGGCACTCCTCGCACTTTCCAATAGTTGAACCGTTGTTTGACGAACAGAAACACCAAGGTCACGACAGCGATTAGCAGTAATACAATCATCTTTATACGGAAAATTTAATGTTACGCGTAACGCAAACAAAACACCGGTCTGTTCGCTGCACCAGCTTGCAATCGAATACCGAATGAACCGGATTGAGTTCTGTATACTAGCTGCAAGTTGTTGGTTAATGTAGTGTTAGTAATTCTTCATGGAAGCGTAAACAGTTTAGAATTGTGCACACAATTCTAGCTGTTATAAGATCCACTTTAGAGACAACGTGTTCAACATATTGGTTATTTCGTTTGTACACACAAATAAGTGGTATGTGCTCGGCTGTGAGGAGATCTAGGTAGACAATGGAACACACTGAAGAAATTTTCAATAATGAATCAATACTCTCAATTTATTTGCTGGACAGACAAGGATGAAGTGGCAAAATTCGGTGCCTTATCTATTTTATTTTCTTTTTCTTTTTTTTTGTAACTTATGATTGATTGCGTATAGTGCCTTCCCATTTTTAGTGGGACTGCAGACGCTTATCAAGAAAGCAATTTTTGTTTGTAATCAAGAGATGGGATGTAAACACAATTCCAAGTGTTTTCTATTGAATTTTATTTATAGGCAGAAAAGCTTAGCACGCATATGTTGAAAACAAAAATACCGCTGTAGTTTTTAAATTCCAGGAGTTGGAAGGGGTTGCATTAATTTAATAGCTAAGTAGAATTAGTAAGAGTTGTTTGGTTGATTATTTTTAGTATAGCGTGTTTCATCGACGGCTGGCAAATGACTGGGATAATGCGTACCGTACCGCGTACTTGAAGGTCATAAAATAGACCCGTCACGCAAGTGAAAGTGGTCCATAGCCTCTTGCCCAGTAGCTCCTATCCCTTCCCCCCCGCCGCGCCGGCTGGGGTACGAGTAACCTTAGGGGAGATCGGGAAACCAACCCCGGTGGGAACTTTGGTCGTACGCTGACAGGGAAGGGGGAGCTGCATCCTTTTCGGAGGATGTGGCTTACAAAACCCGAGCGTCTGTTCTCCATGTTAGGGGCGGCTCAAACAGCGTCTGACTGGCATCCAGCGGCTGAATACAAAATGCTTCTCCCCGAAAGCTATACCCAAGATGGCAGTCCAATCATGGCGGATAGGAGACCTTAGGCCAACCAGCTACTGTATCCGAAACCTTCAAATTGTTACAGAAACCTATAATGAAAGATTACGAACTGATTTTATGGCAACGACTTTTAGCGCTAAACAACGGACAAGAATGTACTGGAATGTACTGACGCTAGCCCAAGACGGTAAACTGGCACAACTCACCAGTGAGGCCCGCCGTATGAAGCTAGAAATCTTGGAACTTAGTGAAGTCCTCTGGCCGAACTTTGGAGAACACAAGCTGCCTTCGGGACAGGTACTTTCATATTCTGGTATGCGAGGTGAAAACGCTCCGCGACATCGTGGAGTTGGCTTTCTGCATAGCGCCCAAGCGCTAGGGGTCGATCGCATATCAGAAGAGATGCTCAAAGCTGACCCCATGCTAGCCTCACAAATGTTGCATCAACTATCTGTCAATATCTGGGACACCGCGACTTTTCCAGCCGACTGGATGCAGGGCATCTTAGTGAAGGTCCCCAAGAAGGGGGTTCCAACTGTATGCGACAACTGGCGAGGCATCATGTTCTCAAAGTTCTGTGTAAAGTTATCCTCAATCGGATACAGGAGAAGATCGACGCGGCTCTCCGACGACAGCAGGCAGGATTCCGTGCTGGAAGATCCTGTGTGGACCATATTGTCACGCTCCACATCATCCAGGAGCAGGTCAATGAGTTCCAAGAGTCCCTGTACTTGGTATTCATTGACTACAAAAAAGCTTTTGACTGACTAAACCACGAAAACTTGTGGGGCGCTCTGAGATGCAAGGGAGTCCCTGATAAGATCCTGATCAACCTCATCGAAGCGCAGTACGAGGCTTTCACATGCAGAATGTCGCACAACGGAGCTTTGTCTGACCCGACAAAGGCACCCACGCATGTGAGGCAAGGATGTATATTATCACCGCTACTGTTCCTCATCGTAATCGACGAGATCATGGTTGGAGCCGTTGACCTTGTACCGAACCGTGGGTTGCTGTGGCAGCCTATTACCATGGAGCATCTCAACGACTTTGATTTGGCTGATGATGTTGCATTATTAGCACAACGGTGCTCTGACATGCAGAGTAAGCTCGACGACATTGCGAAACGCTCCTCTGAAGCAGGTCTAACCATCAACGTCAACAAGACCAAATCGTTGGATGTCAACACGGAAAACCGTTCCAATTTCATGGTAGCTAGGCAGGCAGTGGAGAAAGTCAAAAACTTCCAATATCTTGGCAGCCAGATATCGTTGGACGGCGGCATCAAGAGCGACATAGGTGCACGGATTAAGAAGGCGAGGGCTGCTTTTGCCAGTTTGCGAAATGTTTGGAGAGCGAATCAGATCTGTCGACGCACCAAAATCCAAATGTTTAACTCGAACGTGAAGTCTGTGCTATTATACGCCAGTGAAACATGGTGTGTATCAGCGGAGAACTCTCAGAAGCTGCAGGTGTTTATCAACCGATGTCTGCGGTACATAATTCGTGCCTGGTGGCACCACAATTGGATCGCAAATTCCGAGCTTCATCGTTTGTGTCATCAGAAGCCGTTAGAGACAGAAATTCGTGAACGGAAGTGGAAACGAAATCTGCAAGCAAGCACTGGACTGGAATCCAGCAGGACATCGCAGCAGAGGCAGACCCAGAGGCTCGTGGCGGCGGAGCCTAAACAGTGAAATTAAGAACGTTGACCGAATTTTGACTTGAGCACAGGTCAAGGCCAAAACTAGTAATCGCCCAGGATGGAAATCTTTCACAAAGGCCCTTTGCATTCCTGGAGGTGCACAGGTTCGTTTAGTAAGTAAGTAAGTAAGTTTTTCATCGACAGTACCTGGATTTGCTTAAGGTGATTTCGATGGAACTAATTGTATTTGAATTACCAACAATGATAATCATTATCCTTATAACGTTAATTTTCATCATTTAATTATTGTGTGGCCAGAATCGGGTGAAGAAAACTATGTTGGATGAGTTCCGGGTCGTTTTATGCCTTTTCTGAATCAATTTAATGCAAAGGTGGTGCAATTTGAATGCATGCATGAATCCGCGCCATTAGACATTGATCATGGTTAGATTTGGTGAGTTTGTTCCAGTTGAAAAACATTCTTATATTTAGATTAATCATCATTGTTCTCGAATTCCGTTTGTTCCCCGGCAGGATATCCTCGATCGAACATGATCTATTCTAGAAGAACGTTTCGGGGGGTCCTCTTTGCGTTGATAGAGTCTCTTCATCGACTTTCTCTTATGATGACCATGGCTGTGCAGGCAGATTAGGTGATATTTTTGCCACATAGCTTGATAAATCTAGCGCTCAACGCATCGAACACAGCAGGAAATGTTTTTGGGTGGTTGACAAACGACAGGATCGGTGTAGAGACTGGATACGTGAAAATAGGACCTTTTGAGGTGGTATTTTTCTGTTGTTGCGGTTAGATACTTGCAGGGCCAGATTTGAGAGGGTACCCGGCCAGGAGGCTAAGTAAATATTTGTTGTTTTTTTTATTAAATAGAGCACATTTCATCTGCTAAAGCAAATAATTTTCATTTTATGTTCAATCATAAATTTTAGTTCAGAACTTCTGATTTAATTTTATACGTTGGCCTTCCAATACATCTGAGCTTGTTGTTAACCAATTGCTGAGTTGCACAGACTAACATTCTGAATGTTAACCATTTTCTCTGATTTAATTTGAAGCTAATGTTGGCATAACCCTCGCAACTGGTTGCAAGCTTGTTTACAACATTGCTGATGTATGCAATATTGCGCTGAATTTTACATGATATATATTTTACATATAGCGTTGATTACGCGTGCACTAGAAATCACATATATACAAAGGTTTGAGCTGGACGATTTATCTTTAAGATAATTAAATATGACATTTTAACCAGGTTAGCAAACAAAACCGAACTGGTTAAAGTTACAGATATGAATTCCCTCTAGAGTTTACAGTTGCTTCACAGTGATATAAATGTGGAAAAGCTAAGGCGTCCACCTCTTAGTTTGCCTTTTTGTCCACCTAAAATATTCATAAGTATTACAAGCAATCAAGAGTTAATGAACAATCAATAAAGCATCCTTTTACACAAGCAACCTTGGAATCTGATGCTATCATAATTTTCAGCAATGGCATGCTCACGAACCCCTAACATTTGCCAGAAAACTAACTTCTAACTCAAGGTTTCTTCCAAATAAGCTTCAAAATTGTATTTTTTTTTTATCAAATTTTAAATTCAGAGTTATAACATGTCATAACAGTTGTCAAATAGTTGCAACACAGAAACCACCCTCAAGATAGCGCTATAACATGTTATAGCTCTGTAGTCTGAACAAGGCATAAGAAACCAATCTGATAGTGATTTCTAAAGTTATTCAAGTTTGGGGCTGTCTTTCCGTGACTCTCAACAGAACCCGTGTCATGAAGTTTTTTCGGAGCTTCACAGGGCAGAAGCTCCGAAAACAAACTCCTCCAGTGAACCCCCGACGTGATTTCGTTTGCGACGACGTCACGGAGAAGCGTACCACAAGGGCTGATCCTGGGGACTCTTTTGGTGATATTTTATATTAGCTGAACCTGATATGGATGATCAAAATGTGAAATTTACAAAAGGATAACAGATACAGGACTACAGGAAATTCTCCCTGAAGAAAAATAATCACTAGGAATCGGGATGTACTCAAGGAGAGGCAACATGCTAATTCTGTTGAATAGTACCAGGTGGATAACAGCCTGATTCAAGCAAGAAAGGTGGACCATGAAAGTACCAGTAGCACCATGCAATTTCATTCTGTTGACATTGCTCATGGATCCATTTGGTGAGTTCGTTCCTACTTATTAACACTTGGGATTATGATGGCCACCACTGAATTGTCACAAACATCTGCAGAGTCTGGTGAGAGCTTACCATTTATTCAATTTAAATATTTGTACAGCAGTCGTTTGATTTAGGCACGGTTCGATTTTAGCAACAACATCACAAAA